AGCACCACATATGGTACGTGGAATGGTCCCAACAAGCAAAGACCTTGTATACCATTTGACCTTGATTTGTGACCTTGACCCTAGAGCTGAGATGATGAAGTGTACGCGACACTCCATCAAGTGGTGATACATATGTATACAAAGTTTTGTTATGTTATCTTGAACAAATCAGAAGCTGTGTTCAAGGTTCAAGGCTCTTTATTGTCATTCACATCACATGTGGTACATGAGGTGGAACGAAATTCTGTACTCAAGGTCCCATTTATACCTAAAAATAGCAATAATATAATATAAAATATATTTAAAAAAGAAGACACCGCATACAAAGATCAGATATGCAGTAAACAATAATAATGTAATATAATACGGTGTATTAAACAGCAGCCTGAACATGAGTCTATTGTGAGCAGATGAGTATGAATATAGCAACATGGGTAATCAACAGCACAGATAAAGTGTCAAATCTCTCATTAAAGTGGGATTACAGGGATTTGTCTGGTTAGGGATTTTTGAGTCCAACAGCTTCATTGTTATGCTGATGACTGTCAGATTTATCTGCCGTTAACACCTAACAGTTCCTCCTCCATTCGCCCTTTGTTAAAATGTCTTGATGACATCAAGACTTGGATGGCTGCCAACTTTTTGAGTTTTAATGATCAGAAGACTGAGGTCATTGTGTTTAACCCTAGCTCTGCCACTGTCACCGATCCTGAAAACCTGGACTCCCTTCAGCCTCATCTAAAACAGTCTGTTAAAAATCTCGGGATAGTTTTAGACTCGGACTTAAAGTTTAATAAGCAGATAAATTCTGTTCTTCAAAAAAGCTTCTTTCAGCTAAGGCAGATGGCTAAGCTCAAGTCCGTCCTGTCCAGATCTGACCTTGAAAAATTAGTCCATGCATTTATTACAACCCGGCTGGACTACTGTAACTCGCTTTATGATGGGGTCAGTCAAGTCTCTCTCTCATGTCTCCAGCTTGTCCAAAATGCTGCAGCTCAGCTACTAACAGGAACTCACAGGTTTGAGCACATTACTCCAGTTCTGTCCTTTCTTCACTGGCTTCCTGTGCGTGTCAGAGTTGATTTTAAGATTCTTCTGCTGACATTTAAGTGTCTTAATGGCCTTGCACCCTCATACCTCTCCGACCTTCTTCATCCTTATGCTCCTTCTTGGGCCTTGAGATCATCAGACCAGCTGCTTTTGGCCGTACCAAAAACCAGGCTGAAGCTCAGAGGAGATCGGGCATTTTCAGTCATGGGCCCTAAACTCTGGAACAATCTGCCCATCAACATTAGACAGGCCACCTCAGTCTCTACTTTTAAATCTCTCCTGTACTCATTGGCATTTAACACAGTGTGATCTCATTTGGTATTTCATCGTTGATGATTGTGTTCATCCATTTTGCTTTTACTCCCTGACATTTAACGCAGGGTGATTTAATTTAGTATTTCATTGTTTCTAATTATATTTCATGTTTTTATGCTTTTATTCATGTTGCTGTAATATGTTGTTATTAATATTTGATCCTGTGATTTTCTTTGATAAGCACTTAGATAACGGTTACTGTTTTAAATGTGCTATATAAATGTGACTTGACTTCAGGGTAGAAACTGTGAGGGACAACAGAAAGTTTACAGACATGTGAAGACTATACCTCACTCGCTCTGGTATGAGGCAGACGCATTCTCTTCCCTCTCCTGTTCTCTTCTCTGTCTGTGTATTGGAACTTCTGTGGAGGCTTATCAGAACTGTGCCAGCTGACCATCATCTTATCAGGACAATGGACTATCTGATAGTGCTTCATGGACCGCCTTGTCGTCAAATGCATATGAACGTGTTCATAAATGTGATTGCTGGCAGAGTTTTTGATGTCTTAAATCATGTCCTGATTGGACAAAGTGTGAAGAGATCTTTTTTGTAATGCCACTATCCTCTCCTCATGGCTTTGTCCATTTTTCCATCTAAAAAATGTATTCTGAAAAGGATAAGAAGGCAGCAGCTACGTGCACTCCGCTCATCTTTCAGACGACTGTGCGGACATGTTCTTGCTGTATCTTGGTACAATCACAATAAAGCTTGTTCTGATTCTATTCTGATAATACGCCCTGCCTTTGAACGGAGTATGAAAATTGCTCTAACTCAGTCAATTTTACAGATACTGACCTACGTTTTGGTGTTGTAGTAACTGAGGCCTAACTCCAACACAAAGTCTGAGCTCTAACGGATGGCACAACTTAAAGATAACTCTGTCTCAGCAAAATATCTCATGAACCACTGGACAAATGGACAAGATCACTGGATGTACATCTACAGCCAGCTAACTATTGGTGTTAATCCAATTCAAGATGGCTCCACACAAAACTGGTTACTAATCAGTCAATTTTACAAACATTGAGCTGAAACTTGATGTGGTAGTAGCTGAGAGTCAATATATAGATCCAGTGAAGTCAAAGTATCGCAGAGTTGAAAAATATTTTCAAGGAAGTACCAAAACTGATATAACTTCATCATTTCTCAACAGAAAGTGATCTTAGTAAAAAATACTAAATTTAAAGGTAGGCAACATGCATTGTGGAAAGATTGAGTGAAAATAAATTAACTAACCTTGTGTTTTGTTCATTGTCATGAAATGAGGAGGGGAGTTAGCAAAATCAGAACTTTTTTTAAATAATGGTGAATTTGATTGTCAAAAAGCTTAAACAAATGCACGCTGGTGGAGCGCCCCATGCTGCAGGAACACCTGCACAAATGTAACTTTCATGGAGAAATGAGACGGATACTTTTATTGTGTCAGTGACTGTAAATGAAGTTTTGGAAAATTAGCTGTGAGCTGCAATCTGTCTTTAAATTACATCCCCGATTCCTAAATCATTAGCATGTTGAGTAAAATATAAATAAAGGTAGAATGCGCTCATTTACAAGCTTCAAAATCCTATATTTTATTCTCAGCAGAACATAGTAAACATATCAAATGTTTTAAAACAAAAAATGTATCATTTTTAGACAAAATAAGTTTTTTTTTTATTATTATTTTAATGGCAGCAACACATCTCTGTACTCTTGAGGTTGAACTCTCTCTCTTTGAAGTATATTGTAAAAGATAAAACTTTTTTTAGTACTTTATCAACATTTTGATTGAATTATACACAAACTAAGGCTCAAAACATTACTCAATCATGTAGAAATGGAAAGGGAATGACTTTTACAGAGGATTATTGATCGAAGATCGATTACCAGTGGTGGCCATCTTGAATTGGGCTCAGTCCAAAAGTTAACCTCAGAGTTTGGAATGAAAATCTTGTATGAACTGTTAGTGTTTGGAGCAAATGTTGAGTTTTATGCTTAGCTACTACTGCACTACATTTTAGCTCAATATCTGTGAAACAGGCTGAGATTAGCTATTTTTGTGTTTTCTATAGTCGAATAGCTAAAGTGGCCATCTGGAATTATTCAGGGATTACTTTCTACAAGTGTCATTAATATCCATCCAGTGAGGGGTTCATGTGATCTTTTGCTAACAAACAGGCAAACAAACAGAAACAGGAAGTTACAAGACTGCCAACCTCTAATGGCAAAAAACAAACCTATAAGTAGTCCTCAAAGACACAGTCTTTAAAAAACAAGCAGAGAAACTCAGAGAACATAAAGATTTTATGCAAAAAGTGTTTTAAAAATGTGTTAAAGAGGGTGGAACCAATAAGTTCAGGTATTTTTATTATTTTCCTGTTTGAAACTATGAAAAATAAGAAAAACACACATTTCCCTTAGATGTAAAACATTATCACCTTTAACTAATTTATACTTTAGGAAATTAGATCAGCACCTCCAAATGTGAGGCCATGGTCTTTAGTTGGAAAAGGGTGGATTGTCCACTCCAGGTCGAAGGTGAGGTTCTGCATCAAGTGGAGGAGTTCAAGTATCTTGGAGTTTTGTTCAAGTGTGAGGGAAGAATGGAGCATGAGATTGACAGACGGATTGGTGCAGCACCTGCAGTATTGTGGACTCTGTGCCGGTCCGTTGTGGTGAAGAGGGAGCTGAGCTGTGAGGCGAAGCTCTCTGTTTACCTGTCAGTCTATGTTCCTACCCTCACCTAAGGCCATGAACTCAAAAAAGGTATTAGTATTAGGACCAAACATTGGTCCCCAAAAAGGACTACTGGTCCTGACAAGGTGAGTGTGTATACCAGAATTTTTTTTTTTGTAAAAATGTTACAAAAACACACATATTTATAAAAACACCCCTAGAGAGCTTCAATATTTTTTGCACAATTGTTGGGGCCATCCTCTCTCTGGGTCTTACAGCTCCAACAAAAAAATCAGATAAGACTGAAAAATAAAACCTTGATTTTAAATATTGCTTCCAATAAACAACATTTAAAACCTAAATCAACATGTTTGTGTTGTTTTGGGTCATAGTGTGGCCTGAGGTTCATCTTCACACACATCAGTCTTTCTGTTGGGGTGTGTCTCTCCACGCATACACATTCAGATAACTCATATGCATCATGTACACAAAACACGTGACCTCTGAGCACAAAATGAATTTTAAATATCCTGTTGTTTTGGTATCAGATTACCAGCTTTAATCTCGTCCATATGGATACGGGGTCTAAGATTATTACCTGCAATGAGCCCTGTGGATACTGGCTACACCTATTACCAGTTTGGCAATGACAAGACATGCAACTCATAAACAAGCAGCAGCAACAACAAACAAAAAGACAAAATAAAATATTATTACTGTTAGCACAAAAGCCACAGGTTTTATGACAAAGCCAGGAGGTTCTCAGGTGCTGGTTTAAGGTCGATGTTAATGGACAGAAAACAAGGTGAAGCTTAGTACAAGAGACCAAAGTGCTGATCGCTACGGCAACAACTGACCCAGTTAGAAACAGATGTGCAACCAGGTGCGACATACATTAGAAAACAAAACGTGCTGAATGCACATATGTGCCGTCAGCTGCTGCACAGATCGCACACCCCACTATGAACCGGACTCACCTGAGCTCGATGGCCTCCCCCATCTCGCTCCAAGAGCTCATCGAACACAAGAAAGACAGCAGGACGAGAGAAGCTGCAGAGATGACGAGCTGAGCGAGCGCTCTCCCTCAGACGAAGCAGCGCGGGGGAAGGATGACAGAGGAGAGCAGAGAACATGTGATGAGACTGTGAGTGAGAGAGAAAGAGAGAGAGAACCACACCTCTTCTTAAGGGGATTAACTTGAAAATAAGAGAGCCAACACTTGGAGATGCACCCTAACACAGTCCAGCTGCCCATGAGTTGGTGTGGACGAGCAATGGGTTGAGAGGCGCGCACAAACACATGCGGTGTGCATGTGTGCACGGGCTCACAGCTGCTCTAAAAATAAAGACAAATCAATGTTTGATGATCCAAATCCTGGGAGCGAGGAAGGATGGGAGTGGGAGGATAGGAAGAGAGGGAGAGTGGGTAAGGAGGAGAGAGGAGGGGGGAGATTAAAACGAGTTGTGGCGGGTGGTGACACAGTTTGCTTTCTGTTGGCTTTGGGCACACTGGTCAGGAGTGCACTGGTGGAGCTGGAACCTGAAGAACAGGACAAAGATGGACAACGTTCCGTACATGTGGTTCTCTGATTCCAAAGGGCAGGTCACAGAGACACCGGCCTTCAATCCTTGAAGGATCACATGGCCCGCCAGCTTTCAACCAAGAGTTTTAGTCCCTGTTCACACTGTGCCACGTTTAAATGATGCCGTAGCATTTCAGATGTATTACGGTCATTGGTGCGCATGACAACAGTAGCCGTTTTCTTTGACACCGAACATTTTTGAGTGGAGGTTTTTGGAAAGGTCTAGCATCTGTGTGAACTTGCTTATGGGCACTATGGACCACAGCAATCAATAGCTTTTCTGCGTGAGTAGACAACAGGAACAGCGGTGGATAGAAGAGTGCTGTTTGTGCTGATCATAAAAACACACGTAGGAGCGACCGAACCTCGTCCTTGGTCCAGTCAAACATTCATGTGCTCTTCATTTTGGTTGTAACTTTTTTCATACTTGAGACTGAGGTGTCTCTTTGTAATACAAAAATCACAGCATCATCTAGTGACCTGGCATGAAAAACTACAGTTAATTCAACAAGCACAGCATCATCGTCTAAACCTGTAACTTTTCCACAACATCAGAAAGACGCTAATGTTTCAGCGATTGTTCACGTATAAACAAAGTCTTAGGCTTGGACCAGTCTATGTTGAGAAAAGTTGCATTGTAGCCATTTTTTCAAGCCTAGGAAAAAATAAAGTATGCATGCGCTTATGCTCAGAGTACATATGTGTTCACTACTATGGCTCACTTGGCTTTTTGTTTGTTGTTATTTCTGGGGTTTTATGAGTTGCATGTCTTGTCATTGCCAAGGTTCATTAAACATACACAACATACTTTGTTAACAGATTTATCAGATCTGTTGTCTGATATCAACAAACAGTTGATATCAACAGTTAACGCTGAAGATTTAGTCAAAGTTTTTTGACAGTTTCTACTCTTATTACGAAATGATGAAACTGTGCAGACCACACCCAAGCAAGCAGATGGCTGTGTGACTATTTCTAAAGTTTGGGGTGTTGTCAGTTTCTGCTCTAGATTGTCTCTCCAGCAAAACATTTGCTGGTAAAACTATATTGTTTGTGGTTATGTTTTTTTTTTTAAGCGAACTGCTCTGAGGTGACAATTTTGACGTAAGCAGGTAGCAGCCATTGATTGGCCAGTGAGCTAAGTCACTGGATGACCCATCCAGCAACAACTGCAAACTACATCTGAACCACCATTTCCTCTCCAATCATTGCTGAAGGTAGAGTGTGGGTTTGTTTTTTTCAAGAGTTTATTAATGGAAACTCCAAAAGTAGTGCCGTGCAACACTGATGAGAAACAGGCCTTTCTGTCTTTATTGGCAGACCAGTATGGGAAGCCCTTTTGACTAGTCAGAATGTAAATACAGATATCTTAAATTAGCATTCTGACTAGTCCAAATGTAATTGTTCCTAGTCAAAACTCAATTTAAGATATCTAGAATGTAACTACAGATAGTCAGACTACTCGATTTTATGTTAAAAGGGCTTGCCATAAGACCAGAGGATTCAGCCAGAGATGGATGGTGCGCACCCACTTTGCAATGACAATCCCTCCTACAGAGTGGGGAAACAAGTCACAGTGGGTAGTCACCTACTCCTGAGAAGAACTGATAAAATGAGAACCGACTCGAGTCGTACTCATCAATGGCAAAGTGGTTGTAGTAGTAGTAGAAGATTTGGTTTAATGCAGTGTCAATAACATTTTTTCTCTTGTGGCAACAAGGTAATAAACAAACAAAGCTTATTTCAAATAAGAAAAGAAAGTATACAAAAAAAAAACCACTGGCATAGTTTTAAAGTTTTTTTTAAATATTGGACACAAATACACAAACTTTGTGTTCTTTTTTTTGTTGTTTTGTCGACTGCTCCCTTTCTCAGGGGTCGCCACAGCGAACAAAGACTAGGCAATGGTTTTTATGCTGGTTTCCATAGGGGCCTTGCTCAGAGTGAGGTAAATGAGGGTGGAGGCAGGTGTGTGTGTTTCACCTTTACCACCCACATTTTTTTTTATGTTGTCTGTCCAGAAAATTGAACTAGCAACCTTCTGACCACAGGCCCACCTTCTCTAGCCAAACATTTTCTAAAGTTGTGTTGTGTTGGGACCAAAGTTGTTTAATTTGTATGTGAATGATCTGGTTGATGGGTCAGGGCTGTTGAAGTGTTTTTTATTTGCAGATGACACCATGATTTTTGTTCAGGTGACGATATTGAACAGATGTTGGAGATGATACAGGCAGGATTCATAAAAATACAAACTTGGTTCCAACTTAATAAGTTATCATTAAATTTGGAAAAACAAACTACATTTGTACATGATATTTAGTAACAGAAATAAAATTATCGAAGTCCCGTTTAAAATTGACAATATTGAAATTCATAGAGTTAATGAAATACAATTTTTGGGTGTAGTTATTGATGAGACGCTGTCATGGAAATCTCATGTAAATTACTTAAGAATAAAAATAACAAAATCAGTTGCATTAATGTTTAAAGTAAAATAATTTTTGAATGGCAAAGATTTGTATATATTGTATAATGTAAAGATTGTTCCATATTTAATATATTGTATTGAAGTTTGGGAAAAAGCATGCAAAACAATTACAGATCCTATTTTTATTTTACAAAAAAGAACTATAAGAATTATTAATAGGAAGTGCTTTTGTCACCCAACAAATATATTATTTCATCAATTGAAATTATTAAAATTTTATGATTTGGTTGAATATAGTATAGGGCAGCACGGTGGCGCAACTGGTAGAGCTGCTGCCTCCCAGCGAGCAGGTCCTTGGTTCAAACCCTGGTCCAGGGGCCTTTCTGGGTGGAGTTTGCATGTTCTCTCCGTGCATGCGTGGGTTTTCTCCGGGTACTCCGGTTTCCTCCCACAGTCCAAAAACATGCATGTTAGACTGATTGGTAACTCTAAATTGTCTCTAGGTGTGAGTGAGAGAGTGAATGGTTGTTTGTCTCGTTTGTCTCTATGTGTCCCTGTGATGGACTTGCGACCCGTCCAGGGTGTACCCCGCCCCTCGCACAGTGATTGCTGGACATGGGCACCAGCGACCCCCGTGACCCAAAATGGAATAAGCGGGTAAAGAAAATGGATGGATGGACTTTGGGGATTGTTCAATTATAAGTTCTTGTTTGTAGTTATTTTACTTTTTTTTTTTTTTAAATAAGGGTCAGCTATTATAAGATTTTCTTCCTCTTTCTGCACCCTTTTCATTCAGTGTTTTTTTAATTCTTTTTAATGAATTTGTTTTGTTTCTTTTATTTCTTTTAAATGAATGAATAAATTAATAAAAGTAATAATCATAATAAAATTTCCATGCTGTTTAGACAGTAAAAACTATGCTTAGTGGTTGCACAACTTGATGAGATCCACACTTGTAGCAGCTTTTCAAATGATGGAAAGCATAGAAAAAACACACTATTATTACCTCATTTTGCCATGCTCTTAGTCCAACAAATCAAATCTGCATCAGAAAACAGAACAAGGTAACATGTTTTTAAGATGTCTGGAATGTTGTGACTTGCAACCTAATCTGAACACGTTGGTCTGTTTTTAATGCTCGTAATACGTTCACTAAAGTTCAAGCTTGAGTTAGAACAGCAGCATTGTGTGTTCATGTACCTTTACTCACATATTCCCCAGTTTCCATGATGACATTTTATCCTTTTGTCTGTTTATGCTTCAACACCCAGAGCCGGAGAGCAGAGATGATTGAGACTGACAGATCAAAACATCTTCATCAAGCTCTGACTTTGTTCTCGTGTCATTTACAAACACAACATTCTGGCTGTGTGTGGTTAAACTGCCACCACCTTCTATATGCTTTTTTTGCCCTTGTTCCCCCTTTGAGGCCAGTTTACTGTACATGTAAACAAGCACCCGAAAACTTTAAAGATTATCTAATGTTGATTGTAAAAATTAGAGCCCGACCAATATATTGGTAGGGCCAATAATTTAGGCCGATGTAGACATTTGGGGACCTATTGGTGTTGATGATAATTGTCCCATTACATGCCAATATAAGCATTTCTAATTTTCAACCCTAAAATGCTGGAACCAACCGAAATTGTAAAATGTATCCAGCAGAGGGCGCATGAAGACTACTTTCAAGTCATGGCCTTAAGTTTCACTTTCACCTTCAGCACAGATGAAGCAGGGAGCAAGACTGTGTAGCATATTTTGCTGAACAGAGCATGGTAAGTTTATTTTAACTGATCTCTAAAATAAACCAACAATAATAAATTCTCTTCAATCCTCCAACCTGCTTGTCACTAGCTACGTGCCTCTCAAATTAGCAAGCTAACATTAGTGTTCAGTTGCACCACCTTCACAACATTAGCTCTGTTGTCAATAGTTATAGCAACCAGTCCTGTCGGACTGAGCTTCCAGTATTGGTAACGCTATCTTTGTCATCCTCAATGAAATGTATTGCTCGTTTTAAATCTTTACTTCTATGGAAAAAAAAAATACACCACTGTGTTCAATACTA